TTGAGGCTTGATACAAAACTGCTTTGCTTGCTTTTTCTAAGCCCCTGGCTAACTTACTCCTGCCTTTTACAGTAATGCTTGTTTGTCTCCATAGCTGCCCCTGCCCAGACACAAAAGTTGAATAAAAAGCCAGCACAGAATGTTGTATCTGTTCGCCAGCAAGCCATGGTATGTCACAGAATTCCTCCTCCAGCCATTGCTCATCTTGACTGTTATAATTCAGAATGAAACTCTGAGCCCTGTAACTGAAATACCTGAATATTTATAAATATCAATATAATTGATAGTAGCCTTTGTGTGGTGCTGCCCCGGGTGTAACAACAGGCTCCTGCTAATTGTGCTGTGCACATCATCCCATCCCTCCATGTGTGCACAGGGGATGTTTCCCACTGCTCCTCACTTCCTTTAAGGCTCTTCAGTTGTTCTGCATAGGTTCCCCCAAGTATGCCAGTGGGGCCACAGCAGATCTCAGCTTCCCATATCTTGTAAAATTACAATTTAGCTTCTTATAGAAGTCCCTACTGTGAGGTAAAAAACAAAAATAGAAGTTTAGGCCCCAGGAAGAGCACAGAGATTTCTCCCCATGCTGTTATTGCCAAAGGCAAGAGCAGTCACTGAAGCCTGGCTCCGTGGGGCAGTCAATTTGCCCAATGAGATGTTTCACTCTCCTTTCTTCAACTTATCCATTTTTCTATTCTGTGGGTTGCTTCCATAGCAGGAACAAGCTAATAGGAAGAAGGAGAGAGACACAAGTGAAATAGGAGCAGAAACAGGAGCAGAGCTGCCAACACAAGAAAAGAAACGGCAGAAAAAAACCCAGCAGCCAGAGGAGCTGGAAGCACTAAAGCGGTTCACCCCCTTTGATTACAGCAATTCCAGCTTCAAAGTGTTTGCAGGTAAGATCTGATTCCTTCTAGAGTGCTGCACACTGGAAAATGTTACCAGCTGAGGTGAGTGTGGGTGCCAGTGCAGTACAGGCTGTTACACTGTGCTTACCTTAGAGTGGGGAAATAGTTCCAAAAACTGACTTGAGGAATGTACACTTTAGTATTCCTCTTGTATTTGGAAACAAAATCCTGAAATAATTGGCCAAGTGGATTGTGGATTTGGATTTTGTTTCTTTTCCCTTATCTGTTTAATTGGAACCAGGGGCTAAGAGGCAAAGGAGATTTGACTCCTTTGTGAAAAAGGAACTATTCAAAAACATCTCCTGCCCTTAAAAGATTTTACTGTGTGGGAGGCTGTAGTGAAACCTCCATATCATCAGAGGAACACTGTGGGGAATGCATTGTTCTTTATAGAAAATTTTAATAACAGCTTCTCTCCTCTCTCTCTTAGGAGGCAGCAAATCAAAACAGTCACCACAATTTGATCCTGCCAAGCAAGCTCACACAGGCAAGGTATGGACCTGTCATGAAAGGGGGAATAGAAATGTGGGTGACTGTATGTACCCAGCCAGGGGCTCTCTGGGAGGGCAGATGGTATTTTGGGCATCTGCAGAATATTCCCTAACAGCTGCTGAGGTGCAGGTTACAATCCCAAGTTCATTATTCATTATTCCTTCCCATTCAGGAGCAGCTTCCTTGGAGTCCCTCAGACTCTCTTGTTGTTTCCCACTATTCATACATTGCTTACACCTATGCCTCTATACATCACAAGCATGACATTTGGACCACAGCAAACCACCAGAAATTCCAATTCCAAATTAAATTCTCAAAAATCACAGGCATTCCAGTGGTTCCATGTCAGTTTTGCATGCTGCTCATGTACCCCTCCAAGTACTGTTATTAGGAACAGTCTCAGCTGAGAGATTTTTTTACTTAACTTATTGCTAATTGAGATTGAAAAGAAGAAAAAACCCATAAACAATCAAACCATGGCTTGCTAATGAACAGACACAATATTTTATGCTGCGTTTTATGCATATTTAGGGAAGTCAGTGAGCAGAATTCTGTGAAATTGGAAAGATCTGGCAGCACATGGAATATGCTTGGGAGGAACCTCACTGTGGTGGTGTTTTATTTAGTTGTTTGTTTGTTTGTTTCTGTGTGCAGAAATTTGCTGGAACTAACAAGCTTCAACAGTCTGGAAACCGGAGCATGTCCTACCTGGTGGGGAAAGCTGAAAGGTGGGGTTTTATCCTGTCCTCATCCAGCTGGAGTGTTTGCACACCCCTGCCCCAGAACCACAGCTATTGTCCTCTGCTGCTGTGGGAGCTTTAGCATATGTTCAGTGGAAGAGGTTGCATCACACCCTGACATCAGTTTAAAGGACAAAAAAAGAAAAAAACCCCAACAATTTAGGATTAATGCAAGGCAATTAATGCACAGATTTAGATTAATGCAATGACTGGGTGGAAGGTTTGAAATGCTGAGGTAAAAGTTGGTGTTTAAGGGTGTGGGAATTGCTTTCTTTGATCAGATAGGTGGAAGTGGAGAACATCTGCCTAGCTTGGGAGGAATAAGAGTCCTGCCAAGGATGAACATTCTTATTGTGGATAGATACTTAGTGTTTAGCTTACAGGGTTTGATTATTGTGTGTTACTTTGTCATAAAAGAGCAACACCTACCTAGGGGCAGCATTGGAGGGAGAAGGGTGCTCTGAGCCTCAGGGCCCTCTCTTGATAGAATCATTGTAACATGGTTGGATTTCAATCTTAAGTGAATTTGCTGCAATAATTAAAGTGGTTTTTAAACTCTTTTGCAGGGGTTCCACACACCACTGGCCAAAGAGATAATCTTTGTTACAGGACCTGTGGGAGTTGCTGCTGAATGAAACAGTAATTAGAAATGTTACCACCATGAGGAAGCAGATGCCAGTCATTGATCAGTTTTTGTACAGGAAAGTTTTTAAAACCATTAAAATCCTTTTTTTTTTCCAAAAGGAAAAACATCTGGATTGATGTCACTTTTGTTATATTCACATTGTTGGTTTGTTTTTTTTTTTTTTCCTAATTATACTCACAGTGTTGCTTTGTTTATAATTTTGAAAGTTTATCCCATGTCCTCTAACACAAACTTGTCACTTCTTGGAGCTCAAACCCAGCAGATCAGAGAAGGAAATGGGGCCAGAGTCTTTTATGATAGACCTTGCTTACAAATTAAACTGCACAGCTCATCTCTTACAATACAAGGTAATACAGGAAAAAAGAAGCTAATACAGAAAAAGAGAGTGTTTACCTCTTAGTGTTTGGTGTATTTTAATGGAAAGATTGTATTTGTACTACTCTTTGTAGAAAGAGAATCAGAAACAGTATCATCAGTATTGGATGGGTCAGTGACAGAGTTTATTCTGATGAAGACCTCTGACATTTTAACAGGGCTTTATTGAACAAAAATTATGAGGAGACTTGAGATTTAGTTTGTTTTCAATCTTTTTCCCTGTTTCTGGGAAATAAGAAGTGGAAGGAACAGAGGAGGAGTTTTTCTCCTTAGGTATCTTAGTGTGAACAGTGCTGACCAAGCATTGTAATGGTAGAACACAATCTCTTTCTTATAAAATCTGCTTGCATGGCTGAATATTGGAGAATGTTTATGTAAAGAGGCAGTTAAATAGCAATTGTCTCCAAGTGCATTTGCATTTGCCAATTCCTCCCTTGTCAGCTTTACCAGTTCTTGTTATTTCTTTAACTTGAAGAAATTGCAAAAGCCCTATCGGTCCAGGGAATATTTAAATCCTGTACTTTAAATTCCAAGGAAAGTGACATTTCAAGGATGATCCTAATTTTAGTCTTTTTCTGTTTTCCCTTTATGAATTGCAAAACGTTTTTAAAATGTCTTTAATGGAAGTGACTGGCAGCTACATACATGCTTTATTCACTTGGTTGTGCCTGTGCAGTTGTAGCACTGGAGTCTCCTACTGTGAGGCTGTTTTGTGCAGCAGTTTTTGGAGGTCTTTGTGTAACCTCTTTGTAGAACCTTGGTGTATTTTTCCCAAAGTCTGCATCTCACAGAACATACCACATTCTGTCAGGCCACTGAATCCTCACTTGGGCCCACCAGCACTAGAACTGCATCTGCTTTTGCAATATCCCCAGAATCATTGATGGGTGAAGTTGGTAGGCACCACAGCAAATCATCTGGTCCAAGCTCCCTGCTCAGGCAGGGTCATCTTGGAGCACATGGCACAGGATTGTGCCCAGATGGAATATGTGCCGTGTAACAGTCTGCACGCCCTCTATGGGCAATCCAGTCCTGTCCTTGGTCACCCACATAGGAAAGTTCTTCCTAAAGTTCAGCTGGGACTTCATGTGCATCAGTTTCTGCCTGTTGCCTTATGTCCCACTGGTTGGCACCACTAAGCAGAGCTTTAGTTCCCTCTTCTTGGCATTTTCCCTTTAGATATTTACACATTCACGAGTGCCCTCTCACCCGTCACTTCTCGATGCTAAACAGCCCCAACTACCTCAGCCTTTCTCCTTGAGAGATGCTCTCACCAGCCGTCCTCGTGCAATCCAACACAATGCATGCTCATTACTTAAAACACTCGAATCAGGCTTCGTTTTCCCGAAAATTGCTCGCTGGCGGTTCCGCAGGCGGGGCGGCGTGGTGCCGAGGGCTCGGTGTGCTCGGAGCAGAGGCTGTGGCGGAGCGGTGTGCTCGGAGCATGGTTTGTGACGGAGCGGTGCCGAGTGCTCGGAGCAGGGGCTGTGGCGGCGCGGTGCTGATGGCTCGGAGCAGGGGCTGTGGCGGAGCAGTGCCGAGGGCTCGGTGCGCTCGGAGCAGGGGCGGAGCGATGCGGTGCCGAGGGTTCGGAGCAGGGGCTGAGGCGGCGCGGCTGGGCTCGGCTCGGCTCGGGCCCGCCCTTTCCCCGTGGCGGCGGGGGCGGCCCCGCTCCGCCCGCCCGGCCCTGACGCGGCCCGGCCGTCACGGCGGCCCCGCCAATGGCGGCGCGCGCAGGCGGGGGCGGCGCGGGGCCCTGCGCGCGGCTCCCGCGCCGGTGCGGTCGGGCGGCGGCGGCGGCAGCCGAGCGCAGGTGGCCCGGCCCGGTGGCGGCCGCTCCGCTCCGCGGCGGGGCGGGATGGAGCGCGGCGCGGCGGCGCTGATCCGCGAGGGCTGGTTCCGCGAGACGTGCCGGCTGTGGCCCGGCCAGGCCATGTCGCTGCAGGTGGAGGAGCTCCTGCACCACCAGCGCTCCCGCTACCAGGAGATCCTCGTCTTCCGCAGGTGCGGGAGGGCCGCCCGGGGCGGTGGGGGGATGGCGGCGCCGGTCAGCGCCACGCGGTGCGGCCTGGCGGCGCGGAGAGGGGGCGGGGGAGCGCGGCCCCGGCCGGCTCCAACCCCGCTTCCCCGCTCTGCCCAGCACCACCTACGGCAACGTCCTGGTCCTGGATGGGGTGATCCAGTGCACGGAGCGGGACGAGTTCTCCTACCAGGAAATGATCGCCAACCTGCCCCTGTGCAGCCACCCCGACCCCCGCAAGGTGAGCGCTCCCCGGCCCGCCCCTCAGGGCTCCCCCAGCCCCCGCAGGGCTGCCGGGGCCTGTCCTGGGCCGGAGCAGGCTCCGGGCCCCGCGGTTCGTGTCCGGGCAGCCGGGCCCGCAGCGCCTGCACGCCGCTCTCCTCGGGCCCTAGAGCCGAAGTTGCCGCGGGCCGAGCCCGCTGACAGCCCACGCTGTGCCCTCTTCCCTGCCAGGTGCTGATCATCGGCGGCGGCGACGGGGGCGTGCTGCGGGAGGTGGTCAAACACCCGACCGTGGAGTCCGTGGTGCAGTGCGAGATCGATGAGGTGCGTTGGGCTCCCGGCTGCTCGGGGCTCCTGGGCGGGCTGCCCGGCAAGGCAAAGCCAGCCCGACTTCACATCACCCTCGGGAGCTGCGCCTTCACCTGCTGTCTCTCGTCAGCACCAGGCGCGTTTGCTGCTGGTTCTGCTGGCGTGACAATGACAGCGCCACCTCTCTTTGCCTTACGAGTCATCTACGTGGCAGCTGGCTGCCTCTTCTGTGTGATTTCTTTCACACACAGTGTTGAGGCCCTTCCAGGCAGTCGTGGGCCAAGCACGGGATCTGGAGGAGTGCCCTGGCTCTGTGGAGGTGCTGCTGTTCCCTCTCCTTCACTGCCGAGCAGAGTGCTCCCGGCAGAGGAGGATGGCTGCTTGGTTGAGCAGTCTCTTGCAACCAAAATCAGGAAATAAGCAGCCGGGATTTGCTTCTGTGATAGATGGGCCAGTTGCTTTAGAAATGATCATAATTTTGCGTCTAGTACAACAAACTTGGAAGGGAGGAGGTCACTACCAATTAGAGCATGTTGGGGCTTTGGCTTAGTGATGGTGACTGTCAGGATGTGGGTGCCTGCTGAGAATCAGCCTGTGACTGATAACCTGTGTGCTCACAGAGCTCTCCAAGTGACAGTCGGTGTTAGGATGTGGGCTGGTAACTCTGTCACACCACTGAAGTTTACTCTTTTCCCAGTCCTCCTCTCAGCCAGTTTTATTTTACTTTACTCAGCCTTTTCTCAGAGAGTTTTGCTCAGAGTAAAGCTCTTTTAAGAACAGGAAATACTGCTATATGAGAGTGTGTGCTCTGTCTGCCAGCTAAGTAGGCAAACATCCCTGGTTTTAACAAGCCCTGCCTGACACCAGCATATTTTTTTTGTTTTGCCAGCTGTGAGAAGCTGCTAGTGTTCAGTACAACTGCAGTGGCTGCCTAACGATTTTAGAGAGAAAACTTGTATCTTAATAATGTCTGTAGTTCAGAGATGGGGATATTTCTCACCTTGCATTCAGAAACTTGCTAGCATGGTTTTACTTAGGAAGAAAAATAAATTGATTTAGCTGAGATCACCAATGCAAGTGATGTTCTGTAGGAAAAAGGAGCACAGAGCAGTCTGACCTGCAGTCACATTTGCTCAGCTCCTCAGGGAGCTTTTGAAGCTCCAGGTTTTTGTTGAGCTTGGCATAGACAGGACAACAGTGTCACTGAACCCTGAGGCTGTAGGAAAAGGCTGAGAGGAGCTGGCTGAAGATGCTGGCAGCTTTTGTGGCTTTCACTGGCAAATCAGACTCGAGCTGAAGGTACTGAAGGAAATGACTCATTGTGCTGTTCTTCCAGTCACAGCTGCACAGCACTCTGAGAAGCAGCTTCTTGTGAGCCTCTGACCCACTTGTGCTCTCTGTGTGTTGCAGGATGTGATCCAGGTATCTAAAAAATACCTCCCAGGCATGGCAGTGGGCTATTCCAGTGCTAAGCTGACATTGCACGTGGGAGATGGTTTTGAGTTCATGAAACAGAATCAAGAAGCCTTTGATGTGATTATCACAGACTCGTCTGACCCCATGGGTAAGAACTGTAGCCATAAAAGGGCACTGTTTTCCACATATCTCCTTCATTTTTTTTTTATTCTGCCTACCTCTTGGAAGTTCTGCCAGCCTGCTGAGGATCCTTTCAAGTGAAAAGATTGTTGCCGACTTGGAAACCATAAAATTGTATCAGCAGGCCTTCAAGCCAGCTGTTACTTTTCTCTCCTCAAAATTCAGCTCCAGCAGCTATTTCTTCTGGCAGAGTTGTTCCCTGAGTGGAAGGGCAGCTTTGCACATGTGCCTGCTGATAAAGCAGTGGCTCACACACTTGGTGCAGCCCCTGCCCTGAAGATAGCTGGGGTGAGGCTGCTGTATTCTGAAGGGGGAAACTGAGGTAGAGAAGGACCAAATGTAGATATGGCACCTCATTTTAGGAACACATCAACAAGTCTGAATCACCTTCAATCTTGTCTTGGCAAAGAGAGAGGCATCTCTAAAAGGCAGTTTGGAGCAGGAGTTCTGCTTAAAAAATGCTCAGTGAAGCAAGAGGCAGCTGCTAAGACTTTGTTTAATTGGGGATCTGGGCTTGCTATTTAGCAAAGCTAAAATCCTGACTGTTTTGCCCTGCTAGGTGCAGTCTGGGGTTCACCTAGGCTCTAAGCTTTTCTTTATTCACCTTTCTCCCAGGTCCTGCAGAAAGTTTGTTCAAAGAATCTTATTACCAGCTGATGAAGACAGCCCTGAGGGAAGATGGGATTCTCTGCTGCCAAGGTGAGGATGCTGCCCCTGGGCAGAGGCTGATGCCAGACCTTCACATACCAAGTGTGAGGCACAGAGGGGACTCTTCTTGGGGAGGTGAGATGCAGGGAGTGAAACATGTCATCTCCCAGGGAAAGCTGTGGTTTTGATCTCTGTCAGCTCATTCATTATTGGTCTGGGCTTAGCAAAACTGGCATCAGGGTCTGTGAAACTACATGAGCTGGACAGGTTGGGACTTGGATCCACTGCTCACCTGGCACAGTGCTGTGCAGAGCAGAGGGGCAGCTCTCACACACTGCCTGCCTTTCTCCCTGCAGGTGAGTGCCAGTGGCTGCACCTGGATCTCATCAAGGAGATGCGGCAGTTCTGCAAGTCCCTGTTCCCGGTGGTGGAGTACGCCTACTGCACCATCCCCACGTACCCCAGCGGCCAGATCGGCTTCATGCTCTGCAGCAAGAACCCTGTGAGTGCCTTTTCCTTTCCATACAAACCTGCCTGAGGCTGTCCCTTGCAGAACTTGAGCTATGGCACTGAATTCTCCCAGCTGTGAGGCTTCAAGATTCTAGAATTCTCAATTCTTGGTTCTTGAACCCCATGAGTTCCAGGCACCTCAAGGGCCCTTTTCCATTCCCTACAAACCTGCCTGAGGCTGTGCCTTGCAGAACTCAAGCTGTGGCATTCAATTCTCCCAGCTGTGGGGCCTCAAGATTCTAGAATTCTCAATTCTTGATTCTTGAACCCTGTGAGTTCCTTTTCCATTCCCTACCAGCCTGCCTGAATCTGTCCCTTGCAGAACTTGAGCTATGGCATTCAATTCTCCCAGCTGTGGGGCTTCAAGATTCTTGATTCTTGAACCCCGTGAGTTCCAGGCACCTCAAGGGCCCTTTTCCATTCCCTACAAACCTGTCTGAGGCTGTCCCTTGCAGAACTTCAGCTGTGGCATTCAATTCTCCCAGCTGTGGGGCCTCAAGATTCACCTGGCTCTGCCACCCAGAGCTCCAGTGCAGCCTGCTCACTGCTGAATGAAGTGCAGAATTGATCAGTTGCTTTAAAAATGGTCATAATTTTCCATCTAGTACAACAAACTTGGAAGGGAGGAAGTTGCTACCAATTTTTTTAAGGTTTTGGCTTATTTGATGGTGACTGTTACAAAGCAGGCACCTTCTGAAAACCAGCCTGTAACTGGTTTGATGATAACTTATCATCCCTAAGGATAAGTCAGAGAGGAAGCCAGACCAACTAGAGAGTGCACTTAGAAGCACAGCAAACCTTCAGGATCTCTGTTTTCCCCCCCAAAGAACACTGACCCTCACAGAGGCCTCCAAGTGAGAGTTGGTGTTGGGATGTGGGCTGGTAACTCTGTCACACCACTGAAGTTTACTCTTTTCCTAGTCTGCTTCAATGTGGCTGAAGGGAAGCCCATGCCTCCCCAGAACTCTCTCGAGGGGAAAATAAAAGTACCAAAGTCATCACTATGCACCTGGGATCATAATTCTGCATGAAAGGAACAAGTGTCAAAGAAAATAATATCTAAGATAGAGCTGGACAAGCCAGGGAGCACAGGACAGATTTCTGCAGCATCATGCTAGACAAGGAAACTGTCCAGTGTTTTAAGATAGTTTTTAGATGATGTTTAAGGTTTAAGATGATGTTTAAGATAATGTTTAAGGTTTAAGAGAATGTTTAAGGTTTAAGATGGGTTTGGGGTGCCAGCATTGCTGCTGCTGTACATGGTTACCCCGGGATGCTGGCAGCATGCACTGTGCCCAACATGGATTCTCCTCTGAAGAGCAGAGCCTTGTTCCTTGGATGCTCATCACACATCTGTCCCATGGCTCATGCAGTGTGACCTCATGCACTGACGTCTGTGTACAAGTGCTGGTCACAGGAGTTAGAGAGCACAAACCCCAGCCCTTGGTGCTGGGGCTGCGCAGAACCTTTGGCCTCATACTAGAACAGAAAGTTATTTGTTTCCCTCTGAGTCATCTCAGTTCTCTGCCATGCATCAGGATGCCTGTCACACAGCCTTTGGCTTCTTATTTGTTATAAATTAATATTCCAATTTAATAATTAAGTATATTATTAAACAATCAAAATATAAGTTTGGAAAAAGCCACAAGGGATTTGACTCTGAGCCAGGTGATCAGAGTTGGGGAACCCAGGATTGGGCCTCTATCACACCCCAGTCCCCATGGGTCTCCAAATGTCATTTCTAAGGGGTTTGTTTTATACAGTCTTTTGGGCTCTGCAAGGAGCCCTTCTTTAGCATATTTTAGGATATTATTGTAGCTTTTCTTTCTTGCTGCCGTGTTTCCCTGAACTGGTGGATAACTGCTGGAATCCTGTCAGGTGAAAACTTCCTGGCATAAACTTCTGACAATGCCTATCAAATGCCTCCTGCGGGGGTCTTCTCAGACAAGAAAATCCCTTGAAATATCCATCTCTGGATACAGTCATCTTCCTGGTGTTTTAATCTCCATCCTTATCACGTAGCCTATTACTGCTTGTTGCCCAACACTGCCTTTGTACACAGCACTGGTTTTAATTTCCTTTAGCACTAATTATTTTACAACACATATTACATTATCCAAATAGTCAAAGGTACTGACTTTGCTTTTTCAGAACACAAATTTCCGGGAGCCAGTGCAGCAGCTCTCACAGCAGCAGGTGGAGGAGAGGAGTCTCAAGTACTATAACTCTGACATTCACAGGGCAGCATTCATCCTGCCAGAGTTTGCACGGAAGGTAAGCCAGCCTCTGCCACAACACCTCCCTGCAGGGTGAGACAGGAGTGGGAGCAGGATTTCTTGCAGTCTCAAAGATTTCTGTGGGCAAGTCAGAGCAGGACAGCATTTTGTATGACAGAGCAGAGTATGAGTCAGGCAGGGAAGACTGGAGTTCATTTAGGAGCTGTTCTTTGGGCTGATGTGCCGTGCCTTGATGACAGATCACTCCTCCTTCACCTACCAAAGCCTGGTCCAAGATGATTTTTACCAGCAATTCAGAGACAGGCACTTATTCACATCCCCCTTTGAAAGGGAGATGGGAATAGTCCATGCAAGGTTACCAGAACTTTTCAGTCTGAGGCCACAAACTCTCCAGCAGCCTGTGCCAGGTCTGTGGACTGCACAAGGTTTAATCACTTGTAAAATCCCAGACACACTGAAGGGAAGCCCATGCCTCCCCAGAGCTCTCTTGAGGGGAAAATAAAAGTACCAAAGTCACCACTATGCACCTGGGATCACAATTCTGCTGCATGAAAGGAACAAGTGTCAAAGAAAATAATATCTGAGATAGAGCTGGACAAGCCAGGGAGCACAGAACAGATTTCTGCAGCAGCATGCTAGACAAGGAAACTGTCCAGTGTTTTAAGATGGTTTTTAGATGATGTTTAAGATAATGTTTAAGGTTTAAGATAATGTTTAAGGTTTAAGATGATGTTTCCGACCCAAACTCTTCTGTGCTCTTCTGATTGGTGTTAGAGGCAGAACTGGTGTTTCCCACTGGAAAGCTCCAAAAGTCTTAGATAAAATGTGCTTGATTTTAGATAAAATGTGCTTGATTTCTAGCACAAAAGAGAGGGTAAAGAAGGGATTCTTCAGCATAAATCAGTCTTGCTTGAAAGATGGTCTGTATTTTCACATTATTCCATCATATGCCCACTGGGCTGCAACTGCAGCTTCCAGAAAAAAATTCCTTAGAATTTTAGTCATTAGAATTAGAATTAGAGTGTTGTAGAGATGCAGGCAAATGCCATAACTGTGATGCAGAGGTGGTGATTCAGGTGGTTTCCCCTGCAGCCTGCAGAGCTGGGGCAGGTCTATGCTGACATTTGTCTTTGGCTCTCTGCAGGCCCTGAGCGATGTGTGAGACCCTGAGCTGCTTCCTTGCTCCAAGTTGGACTCTGAGATCTTCAGTGATGTGGCTGGGATCTTCTCAGCAGACTGCAGATTTGCTCTCCACTGTGTGGGATTGTTTAACCCTTGGCCAGCCAACATTCCCTCTGATGTGTTAAGGATGATGGGGCATAAGCCAGATAAGACTCTTGAAAAGGTCCAGTGACTTATTGCCTGAGGTCAAAACTGTTCTTTCCAGTGCTGGAAATGTAAGATGTCTTTTTCCTTTCATCCCTGCACCCATTCTAAATTCTCCCATCCCAACCACACTCCACACCCCTCCAGCTGATGTGATGTATTTATAACTGACACATATTTCTGTCTGGTGGGCTGGGAACAGTCCAAAGGGTCCCTGACTCAGCCTTAAACACAGAGAGACAAAGAGAGAGAGCTTTGTGCACAGTTAGCTCACTCTCTCCTCGTGGGAGCTCCCTGCTGCTGACACTTTTGGACTGGTAACAGGTCTGAGCATCCCACTGCCCTCCTGTGACTCCTGCCCTGCTCTGCAGCACAGCTGGAGAAGCCACAGTGCAAACTGTTGCCATTCACCAGAGATCTCGCTCCAACCCTGATGGAGTAGCAGTATTAAACACCAGCCAGGCATGCTGGCAGCAGTCTTGTGGCTTTTTTTTTTGTTAAGGTTGCTCATTTTTTTAATTGGTTAGAAACAGAAGTGCTGAGGTGCCAACAGGCTGACTGCTGTTCTTATCTCTGCCCTCAGAGAGGTTCCAAAGAATGTTTATCAATATGGTGATAGGTTATATATATATATATATGTATATGTGTATATATATATATATATATATATATATATATAAAAGCAAACCTTAGCTGCATTGCCTGATGTTCAGTACTGATGTTGGGGAGTTGGTTGTGCTGGCAAATCTCTCATCTCAGTCATGCTGAGATGCCTCAGGCCTGGGTGTTTGCAAGTCCTTAGGAGGCATCATTATTTCCAATGCTGCCCCCAGATGCATAAATTGTTTTTCATTGTACACTGTAAGATGGAGCTGCCTTCACTTCTTTACTTCTGTTCTGAAGATTCTGTCCCCCTGCACTGTGGGAATCACCCTCCCAGCACAACCACTGTGCCATTGTCACTCCCTTGCACTCAATTAAACACTTGGCTCTGGTTAAGGTGACATCAATGTGGGTCAGTGTTCTTTGGGGGGGGAAAACAGAGATCCTGAAGGTTTGCTGTGCTTCCAGGTGCACCCTCTAGTTGGTCTGGCTTCCTCTCTCACTTATCTTTAGGGATGATAAGTTATCATCCCTAAGAGGATTTGTGGGGTCAGTACTCTCCTGCTGTCTTCCCTTACTGATGGGACTCAGCACTTCTTTCCCAGTGTCTCCTTCTACCACCAGTATTGGTGCAGTTTCTTTGTGGTCACAAGGGTTTGCAAAGCATTGCTGAGCTGCAGAGCTGAGTCTGGGTCTCTGTATTCTTGAGTTGAGAAGATAACACCTATTTTTCTCTTAATTTTCTGGGTGACTTTTCTTTCTCACACAAATAGTTTGGGTTAATGAGGCATTTTCACTGCCCAGATTCTGTGGTTTTATAAGGAGCAGACCAGCAATGGAGCCTGGTTCTAGCTCCTCCTGTTTAAATTCTTGTGGGACCTGAACCTGACTTAGCCCTCCATCCTTGACAGAAAATTAGCTCTGACACTTTCCCCTAGAATGGGAATCAAGACCAGGACTGTAGTCCTCAGAGCAGCAGCCAACTGGTAACAAGTTCAAGCCTTTCACCCATCCTTGGTGAGTACAGCAATGCCCAGGAGGGAAAGAGCTTCCCCAAACCTGTTGTGGGACTCCACACAGCTCATTATTCCTTCTGGTTCTTTGAGCTTCCTCCAAATACGTGAGTTCAGTGAGTGGCCAGTGATGAGAACAGAAGACAGGACTGTTTCCCATCCAAGCCACACAAGCTCTGTCCACGAGGGCCTGTGTGATTTCTGAGTGATTCCAAGTCACTGATCCCCACAGACAGTTCCAAACACTTCAGTGTGAGAAGGCAGAGATCAGTGCCTGAGTCAAGCGCTCAGATGAATGCAGCAAGAGAGGGAACAGGGGCTTGTGCAGCTGTAGCTGATTCCATCTGAGCAGCTCTGAGATTCAGGACTTAAAAATCACCCCTGTGTGCCCTGTGAGCTGCTGGGATGGTGTTTGGCACCTGCAAGGTGGTTGTGTCTACAGATCAATCATCCCTCCCACAGATTTGTGTCTGAGCTGTTATGCTGCAGGATATCATGGCCAAGGGATGCTGGGGCTTAAAGAGACATTGGAATTTGGGTAATGGTCAGCAGGAGGAAACCATGGGGTCTCATGTAGAACTGAGCACTGACCACTTTTGCAGTGTCTCTAGGTGGGCAATTAAATATTAACCTTTTTCAGAGATTTAGCTGCCTTTTGCCTAAGGCATGTTAAGCAAGACTGTTCATAAGCAAAGAGTCACAAAGATGATTGCCTGGGCATGCTGCAATTGTGTTCCAGCATCTCATTATGCCAGGAGTACATGAACAGGGATAGGCTTTGTCCCAGGTAACATAAAATGCAATGTCAGTCAGAGCAGGTGGAGACAAGAAGGGGAACGGAGCCTTTAGCACATCATAGCCCATGGGCTGGGCTTCAGCACATCATTGCTCAAGTCAGTTGGCAACTTTGAACTGTATCAAGCTGCTCTGAGCTTTACTCATTGAACTAACTCAGTTTTTAGAAGCTCAGAAGAGAGTTTCAAAAAATTGAGAGGAGGCCGGCCACTCAAGGCCACAGGCCCCTGAACACCAATGCCAGCCCTTTCCATGGGAAACCAAACTCACCAGCCCAAGTTCCTGATGTCAGATTGAAGGAGGCACTTGGCACTGTCAAACCAGCCCGAGCTGCTGGCAGTGGCAGGTCTGGTGTGGGAGACATGCTGCACTGTTTGCAATTTCAGGAGGTGGCGGACCACTCAGGGCCACAGGCCCCTGAACACCAATGCCAGCCCTTTCCCTGGGAAACAAAACTCACCATCCCAGGTTCCTGATGGCAGATTGCAGGAGCCACTTGGCACTGTCAAACCCGCCCACGTTGGTGCCAGCTTAGGTCTGGGAACCATCCTGTGTATTGTGGAATTTCAGGAGCCAGCCGGCCACTCCAGCCACAGGCCCCGAACACAAACCTCGGCCATTTTCCCTGGGAAACAAAACTCACCATCCCAGGTTCCTGATGGCAGATTGCAGGAGGTGCTTGGAATTGTCAGGGCAGCCTGAGTTGGAGTTCATGGCAGGGTGGGTCTGGGAGACATCCTACTCTGTTCGGAATTTCATTAGGTGGCTGCCCACTCACAGCTACAGGCCCCTGAACACCAACACTGGCCTGTATCCTTGTGAAGCAAAACTCACCATCCAGGTTCCTGATGGCAGATTGCAGGAGGCCCTTGGAATAGTCAGGCATCCCCCGTTGGAGGTTGTGGCAGGTTGGGTCTGGCACACATCCTGTGCAGTTCAGGATTTCAGCAGGCAGCCGCCCCCTGAGGGGTCAGAGTCCTCTGCCTATCTTCACATCCATACAAGTCCTAATCTGCTATAATGGATTGCTGTGGTGCAGAACTGTGGAGAACAGCTCAGAATGAGACCTTACAAGACATCAGAGTGGATGCCACAAGAGAGATGTAATTCCAATGACTGTCCAGGCTCCCAAGTCAAATCTTCGACAGAATCGGCACTAGGCTGAGGAACACAGAGGTCAGAGATGCACAGATGGACACCTCAGTTTCTGAGAGGCCCCTCAAAGGGCTAAGGCAAAACACATGTGACACGAGACACCCAAAAGACGCAGAATTCACTACAGACAAGTGACACAACACCCACTGGGACTGCTCTGCCCTGAGCACCTCAGCATTGTGGGACTTTTCCTTTATGTGGCCTAAGGGGTCACCTCTTGCACATCCCTGCCTCCAAAGCTGACACAAAAAGGCCACATCACCCTCTGGGAATCTCCTGCCATCACCGGGCTCTTGTCACTTGGTCAGCTATAATAAAGAACACCAAATATCACTGCATGATTTTAGCTGCACAGGGGTTAAAAAACAACAATTCTGCCACTCACCATTCTCCTAAGGGTGCCCAGGCCCTCAGGCCGCAGGCTCGGGCCTCGCTCAGAGATCGACGCCATCGTCGCAGGGAAGGTCGGGGTATGAGGAGACACGGTGATGTGGCACCCACATGAGGCTCCATGATGCTGTTAGGAAAATTAATCCACAAACACCAGAGGTATATGTCCAAAAAGGACACAGAGGAGCCCCTTTCTGGCTTTATTCCAATAAAGGGAGAGGCCATGGGACATTCCAATGGGATCTCCAATTTTTGGAGGACCCAGCCTCCTTTTTATACCAATTTCCCAACCACATTTCCTTTCTCTCTTTCCCCATTGGCTGAGGTACTTGAGAGGTTCAGACTTCCCAAAACACCTGATCCCAAAGATTTCCCTCTAATGTATAACCCTCCCTTTTCATTTTTAATTCTTATGGAATTCAGGGGTTTTTCTTCCCCATTGTTTCTTTCATCTTTCAATGTCTAATTTCATTTATCAGCAAACCTAAAGTTTATTTGTAAAAGCAAATATCTTTTTCCATTCATCAATCAGTGGAATCCTTCCCATTGTTTCTTTTATCTCCCAGTGCTGCTTTTATCTACCAGCAGCCTCACAGCTGGTTTGTAAAGACAAATAGACTGTTCCCCTCAATGGCAGGAACCTGTTCCAGCTTCAGGGGATAAGGATGGGACTTGTTTAGACACAAGCAATTATTTTCCCCTCCACACTTACACAAAACCAACAAGGAACAGATTTTCAAGAGGGCCAAGGCAGAGTCAGCTGTTCCTTTCTGGTTTGTACTTGAGATCTCGAAGCCATGCAAACCTCTGTGGTTTGGGGGTTTTTTTTGGTATTTTCTTTTTAAATTCTTACCTGGGAGCCTGATAAATGGTCTTCTCGAGGCAGGTCTTATAAGCTCTAGGAGATTTATATAATAAATTCTGTATTTTATAATTTATGATATGTAATTTATATATTATCTATATATTATGCCTGAGATAGCTCAGCTACCTTAGAAGGCATAAAATCAGCAGGATGGCTTCTGTGGCAGTGTTGGAAACAGAAAAGTTTTATTAAAAGGCAAAATAACAAAGGTCTTTACAGAGAAAAACCGAGCCAGGGCAAGAGGTTCTTGCTCCTGGTAAAACACCTCACAAAAGTGATTATTTCCTTTGTTCTCTTCTTTTTCTAGTAAATTGCTCAGGTGGGTCTTTTTGGCTCCTGTCCAATTAGCTATCCTTAAGTTTGAGGTGAAGTCCCCCAGCTCCTATGAGGTGTCTTTTTTGGTAATTGAGGAGAGAAACTTCTGGGCTTCTTTCCTTTTTTAGGAGATAAAATGTAGTTTTGTCACTCCGCCAACAGAGGGCACATTCCTGTCACACAAAGGATGCTGGAAAAGAAAAAATGACCTGGAAAATCCTCTGGTGGTCAGTCATAAAGCTCATGGCAATGTTTGTCACCCAGCCCTTCCTCTGGAAATCTGAGGATCCGCTCACACTCTGTTTTGTACAGGGAGCCACAAAGAAAAATACCATCAGACATTCAGACATTTCCAAAGAATACCTGCTCCAAGAGCACAAAACCCTGGTTCCTTCTGAGTGCCAGCTCAGGGCTTACCACAGCTTGATCTGGACTTCTCATTTTCCATTCTGTGAAAAATCTGTATTTTATGATTGGCTTTTTGCAAATATTATGAATATGCAACTGGCTGTTGTTTTTAAGAGTTAATCCTCTGTTAACGTGGGTCCTTTTGGGGGCTTATTTTGCCCAGAAAGAGGTACCTGGACTGTCTTCCAGGGAAGAATTCTTTCCCAATATCAAATCCATCCCTGCCCTCTGGCAGTGGAAGGCATTCTTCTTGTCCTGTCCCTCCATCCCTTGTCCCCAGTCCCTCTCCAGCTCTCCTGGAGCCCCTTCAGGCCCTGGCAGGGGCTCTGAGCTCTCCCTGGAGCTTCTCCTCTCCAGGTGAGCACCCCCAGCTCTCCCAGCCTGGCTCCAGAGCAGAGGGAGCATCTCCAAGTGCCTTAGGAGCTTCTGACTGGCAGTGACAAGGTTTTGGTCCCATCTCCAATGTTCATGAGATGCCCAGAGTTACCACAGCACACTCCCTTGGCACAATCTGCGTTGCTCCTGGAATGCAGCAGGAAGAGAATTCTCTGTGTGATGTTCTGTGAATTCACCGCTCTCTGGTGATGTTATCTCTGCTGTTGACTTATCAGGGTTCAGACTTTCCCTTCTCCCCAAAAACCATCTGTTCAGCAGCTGCACTGCTGGAGTGGCACCTTTGTTATTCCTGCAAGTTCCGTGTTGTTCTCTGTGCCTTTGTGTGCTCCCTCAGCCACATCTGTTCCTGCCAGCCTCATTCAGAGCCAGCACAGCAGCTCTGAAGCTCTGAGTCCACAAGAG